GCGATGGCCACGCCGCCGAGCGGAAATCGCCCGAAAGACGTAGCACAGCAGCAGCAGCACATGACACACGTAGACAACACACGAGACAACCAGCACAGCAGCACACGAGACTGCTGCGGGCCAAGGGCAGCCCAAGGCACACATAACAGGAGGTCTGGTTCGACTGTCAGAGCCGGTTGGCTGCTGTCGGCAGCACCACAAGCGAGGGAAGCGACCCCAAGTCAAATCTGCTGCTGCTGCCGCTGCTGCTGCTGCTGCTGCTGCTACTGCTGCTGCTGTAGGCCGATCTTTTGAGCTTGCTACACAGTGGTGCATCCCTAACCCTGACCCAACGAGACGTCNCGTGGAAGACCGGCAGAGCACCCGGAAGGGGGGCAAAAATTGTGTTGGACCGGAACAACAAAAAAAAGAAACTACCATGTTTTACTTGTAGAGGGGTAGAGCCGGGTAGATGCCTTCCCACCAATCAGATATCGACTATGTAGGACATTATGTAGGACAGAGACAGATGATTGGGCGATGGCCACGCCGCCGAGCGGAAATCGCCCGAAAGACGTAGCACAGCAGCAGCAGCACATGACACACGTAGACAACACACGAGACAACCAGCACAGCAGCACACGAGACTGCTGCGGGCCAAGGGCAGCCCAAGGCACACATAACAGGAGGTCTGGTTCGACTGTCAGAGCCGGTTGGCTGCTGTCGGCAGCACCACAAGCGAGGGAAGCGACCCCAAGTCAAATCTGCTGCTGCTGCCGCTGCTGCTGCTGCTGCTGCTGCTACTGCTGCTGCTGTAGGCCGATCTTTTGAGCTTGCTACACAGTGGTGCATCCCTAACCCTGACCCAACGAGACGTCCAAACTGCTGCAGGCCAAGGCGGCCAAAGGAACACATCATACGAAGCATCGAGAGGGATTTTCGAAGCCCGTTGCCTGCTGGTAGCAGGGTGTGAGTGAGTGAAGCAAGTAGTCAATCAATCTGCGGCTGGCTATCTTCGCCGGTCTGTCTGCAGGCCTATCTTCTCTCGATACACAACAGGCCCGCGCCCGAAAACAGAGAGACAATGAGATGTACACACGCTGCCGGCCAAGGCGACCAAATATACACATAGAAGGGCGTCGGGGGCGATTTTTAGAGCCCGTTGCCGCTGCCCCGAGCGTAAGTGCTGCACATCCACGCAGCGACAGCAGCAGCAGCAGCAGCAGGTGATGATGATTCCTGAGAGCTTCGTCCACACCACACGTTCGAGGAACGCCCGTTCACGGTCAGTGCCGTGGGCCAGACGTACAAGCAGACAGATCGGTGTGTGTACCTCGGACGTACCATCTCCGCGGACGGGAAGGCCGACCGGGACATCACGAGCCGCAGCTGCCGAGTGTGGAAGTGCTACCGCCGGAACAGTGCTTCGATGTACGACAGGCGACGGGTCGACCGCCAGCTCAAGATCCGGCTACTCCAGGCTGAAGTGGTGGAGACTCTCCTGTATGGGTGCGCCTCGTGGAGCCTAACAGCGGAGCACTACACGAAGCTCAATGGGACCCACCGCCAGTTCCTTACACGGTGCATCGGCTGGAGCAAGCGGAAACGCTCAGACCGCCCCCTGTCCTATGCCCAGGCCCTCATCCAGGCAGGCTGCGAGGAAACCATCGAGGCCATCGTGCGCAAAAGGAGACTGTGTTTGGCGGGCTTCGTTATGCGCATGGAGGACA